ATGGCCCCATCAGGTCTACACTGCAATTAGTAAGGGCCTATTCCCAAGAGGTCTTGAAATCTGGGGTAGCATTTTTAATGGTAAGGAAAACTTGTATTCTCAAACCTATAGGACTAATGTTCTCTTTGATGTATTGTTGGAAAAATTCCACATGCCAATATAAGTTGGACTTCTTTTTTAATAGCCGCTTGGTTTTGACGCTATGTTGATTAAGACTCTCATATCTATTAAGCATATTGCAACTGGATTGAATCTCTGCCATGTAGCCTGTCCATGCAGTACTTATAAAGTCCATATTAGCTCATTGAGAATAATTCTGGAAAAACAATATAAACAAGTAATGGTATTGAATTGATGACTCACCACCAAGTGTAACTATAAAAGGAGCCACAAAGAAAAGGGTGTTTCCACCTGGTAATCTGACATTAAAATAAAAAAAGACGCTCCCAACACAGGGTGGTTTCTGTGGGGTTACAAACAAGGCTCCTAAGTGCCACGTCCTAAACATGACAATTTATAATTGAAGATAAAGAACCTGATGGACTTTATAGGCACAACAAACAATTGTTCATAAAATGTAACTCTTTATTGCATATGCACAACATAAATAGTACATACAGTATCTCACAGAAGTGAGTACACCTCTCACATTTTTGTAAATATTTTATTATATCTTTTCACGTGACAACACTGAAGAAATAACACTTTGCTACAATGTAAAGTAGTGAGTGTACAGCTTGTATAACAGTGTAAATTTGCTATCCCCTCAAAATAACTAAAAAATAAAACTCAACACATAGCCAGTAATGTCTAAACCGCTGGCAACAAGAGTGAGTACACCCCTAAGTGAAAATGTCCAAATTGGGCCCAGAGTGTCAATATTTTGCGTGGCCACCATTATTTTCCAGTACTGCCTTAACCCTCTTGGGCATGGAGTTCACCAGAGCTTCACAGGTTGCAATTCTTCCACTCCTTCATGACAACATCACAAAGCTGGTGGATGTTAGAGACCTTGTGCTCCTTTACCTTGCATCTGAGGATACCCCACAGATGCTCAATAGGGTTAGCTCTGGAGACATGCTTTAATAAACAAAACAGTTCTCCTCCTCGTCGGAGATCCTCGGTAATCACCGACTGAGACCCGGTGACTGACAGCCGCGGCTGCGAATGGTGGCGCGGGTAGGTGGCTGCGCAGCTCGCGAGCGCCTCCTACCCAGAGATGCAAAATCACGTATATATATGTGATTTTGTGCACCCGTGCCGCCTTGTAGCAGTATTTCTGCTATAGGGCAGACGGGAAGCTGTCAATGTACAAATATCTAAACAAAAGGTAATGGAACAAATATAATACCTCAAAATACATACATCTGCAAAGGGGCGATGGAGGGAAGCGTCTGATAACACCATGAGGGGCCAATCGATGAGGGGATCCCAGCAGTGCTGAAGGGGTAAATAACCTGCTTTTTGACAGTACCTGCTGCGTGAAAAGGTGTATGATAATTGTCCTAGTTGGGGACAATTGGGGCTTCTATGCTCCACAAATATTTATGTACTTTTTTCCTTTTGTGTATTACGTATAGATCTCTATATACAATACTGGCCCCTTCAGGCTGATCCAGGTGCTCCCATACCAGGACAATAACCAGTGGCCCTACTATGTTCTACTAAAGAGGAGGTTAGTTTTATCCCTTAATTCATAGTGGTACCAATTATTTGGGAGGGCCTTACTATACTATTATCAATCATAATACACCTTTTCACACACCAGGTACTGTCATAGGGCAGGTTATTTGCCCCTCCGGCATTGCTGGGATCCCCTCATCGATTGGACCCTCATGGTGTTATCAGACGCTTTCCTCCATCACCTCTGTGCAGATGTATGTATTTTGAGGTATTATATTCGTTCCATTACCATTTGTTTTGATATGTGTACATTAAAGCAGAGTTCCACTCACGCTACAAAAACTGTAGCTGCTGACTTTTAAAAACCACACACTCACCTGTCCCTCGGTGTGTCCCCTGCAGCCCGTTTTACCGGCCTTCTTCTCTCTCTGGGCGCCAGCATCTTCAGTGTGGGAACATGGTTGTGACAGCTTGTGGCTTCACAGCTGGGTACCCACTGCGCATGCGCAAGTAGCGCTGCGCTTCCTGAATGGTACTGTAGTCTTTTGGGACCTGTCATGTGTCCCAAAAGACTACAGGGAGGAAGGAAGAGAGGACACCTTCCACGTCCGATCGCCTAGGCGATCAGAGTGGAAGTGGGAACCTGTCAAATTTGGGTACCCGTTCGACCCCGCCCCTCAAAAGGTGCCAATCCTTAATGGGGAGCGAGGGACCAGTCTTTAAAGTGGAACATCCCCTTTTGGGTGGAGCTCCGATTCAAGTATTGTACATAAGATGTTGGTTGTTTTTATCAATACAGTTTTTATATATCTTTTCTCATAGAAGTCTTCTTACAGCTCCTGAAGAAGCGATAGCATCGCGAAACATGTTGAGCCATTACTGTTATCATCTATAGAATACCCTCTCTTAGTTATTGCTGAGTTGTGGCATACCTTTGCTATTGTGGGAGTAACTAGTAATATATGAATCTGGATTAATTATATATTATTGTATGTTACAGGGTCAGAATATATTCTGTAACAATTTTTTATATGTATGCACTATTTATATTGTGCATGTTCAATAAAGTGTTACATTTTATGAACCATTGTTTGTAGTGCCTATAAAGTCCATGAGCACTTAAATCGTTATGATTAGGACGTGGCATTTAGGAACCTTGTTTGTATCCCCACAGTAAGCACCCTGTGTTGGGAGCATCTTTTTTCAATCTTGGTAAATATATGCCAGCCAGCTATTTAGTTATGTTCTTCGTGATCATGGAGAGAGTATATGCCTGGAGCAGAAAGTCCTTTGTGCACAGCGCAGTTATGTAAACAGCCTTGATTCTGCACTGGAGCACATTGTTTACCATTCCCATAGATCTGAGAGACAGAATAGCAACAAAAATTTCAAAAGAAATGCATGTTTAACAAATTATGTACTGATTTGCATGTTCATGAGGGAAATAAGTATTTGATCCCCTTCACAAAACATGACTTAGTACTTGGTAGCAAATCCCTTGTTGGCAATCACAGAGGTCAGACGTTTCCTGTAGTTGGCCGCCAGGTTTGCACACATCTCAGGAAGGAGTTTGGGCTACTCCTCTTGGCAGATCCTCGCCAAGTCATTAAGGTTTGGTGGCCGACGTTTGGCAACTCGAATTTTCAGCTCCCTCCACAGATTTTCAATTGGATTAAGGTCTGGAGACTGGCTATGCCACTCCAAGACCTTAATGTACTTCTTCTTGAGCCACTCCTTTGTTGCTTTGGCCATGTGTTTTGGGTCATTGTCATGCTGGAACACCAATCCACGACCCATTTTCAATGCCCTGGCTGAGGGAAGAAGGTTCTAACCCAAGATTTGACGGTATATTGCCCCGTCCATCGTCCCTTTGATGCGGTGCAGTTGTCCTGCCCCTTAGCAGAAAAACACCCCCAAAGCAGAATGTTTCCACCACCACGTTTGACAGTTGGGATGGTGTTCTTGGGGTCATAGGCAGCATACCTCCTCCTCCAAACACGGCAAGTTGAGATAATGCCAAAGAGATCAATTTTGGCCTCATTCACACTGATACTGTGTGACATAAGATAGAAAGATTAATCTGCCTATTTGTTCGATACACACTTGTTCCTCTAGGTCGCAGCACTGGCAGCATTCTAGTCTCCTCCCTCCCCTTCCGCCCTCTCAATGATGTCATGCTGGGCCGGGACTAGGAAGCGCCTGTCGGACGGAGATCACTCCGCCTGACAGAGAAGTGAAGGGTTGGTCCTAGGCTTGTGCCGGGTGTGGGAGCATACTCGGCACAGGGCTTTACCTCTGGCTCTACAAATATTGTAGCACGGCTGGCAGCAGTGTACTTGTCCAGGACCAGATTTTAGCAGCACACTGCACTTCATCCGTGCTCCACCTTCTCCAGTAAATTGTTCCACCCAGGGCTTCTGTCTCTACTGCCCGCCTCTTGTCCCAGCTGCGCATGGTTGCCAATCAACTTCTAACTTCAGCTTTTTAATTAAGCTTCAGCAATAAAACCTGAAAGCTAATTGGTTTTTATGCAGAGTTGCACTTCAGTTTTATTAAATAACACCCCATGAGGTTTATTTACTAAAACTGGAGAGTACAAAATCCGGCTTACTTCTGCATAGAAACCAACCAGCTTCCAGGTTTTGTTGCCAAAGCTTAATTGAGCAAGCTAAGGTTAGACGCTGATTGGTTTCTATGCAAAAGTGAGCCTGATTTTGCACTCTCCAGCTTTAGTAAATAAGCCCCCATGCACCCATGGTTTCAGGTGCATTGGTAATTAGCAGTGCTAATTTTTTTTTGTTACTAAAGTGATCAGTTAGTGTGGAACTAAACTCTCCATTACAGCCAAAGAGGCTGCTATACAATTATCTATTTATCAGTTATCATTCATGAGATGCCTTGAATGTAACTGTTTTTGGTAAATCAATGGTAAAGTTCCACTTTAGGGAAAAACTCCAGGAATTTTTTTTTTAATATCTGTTGGGTAACAAATTTTAAAAGTGGAATTTTACACATAACAACTTGATATAAAATAATGTTCTTTAGCAGTAAACATACATTTCATATTAATAATGATGCTACCAAAATTAGTGTGTGCTTTAAATTGCCTCCAGCATTGTTCCTGTTTCTTCTTGCCCGAGGCTGACAATTTCTGAAGTCCTGGGCAGCATAAAATCTTTAAGCTGTTAGCAGATCAGTCTGTACATTTTCGTCACAATGCCTAAAAATAGACAGCATGTGCAGAGCAAGGTGAGACAGTGGGGTTGATTTACTAAAGGTAAATATACTGTGCACTGCAAGTGCTCCGCAAGCACAGTTGCTTTAGATCCGAGGGGAAGCTCTGAAATGAGGTGAAGCTCTGTTGATTACTCTCCTCTTGAGCTGTCACACTGACAGCTCGAGAGGAGAGCCGGTAATCGGCAATCCGCGGAGGGGACATGTACACTGATCATCAGAGCACTGATGATCAGTGTGCCCTGATGATCAGTGTGGCCCCAGAAGTGCCACCTGTCAGTGTCCCTCAGTGCCAGCTGTCAGTGCTGAACAGTGCCATGTGCCCATCAGTGCCACATCAATGCCACATATCAGTGCCCATCTGAGCTGCCTTTCAGTGCCACCCATCAGTGCTGCCAATCAGTGCCACCTATCAGTGCCACCTATCAGTGCAGTCAGTGCCGCCTATCAGTGTGCATCAGTGCCACCTATCAGTGCTGCCTAACAGTGCTGCTTTTCAGTGCCCATCAGTGCCACTTATCAGTGTCCATCAGTGCAGCCTATCAGTGCCTATCACTGCAGCCTCATTAGCGCACATCCGTGAAGGAGAAAAATCACTTATTTACAAAATTTTACAACAAAAACTAAGAAAAAACTTTTTTTTTCAAACTTTTCAGCGGTTTTTGATTTGTTTAAGAAAAAATAAAAAAACCCAGAGGTGATTAAATACCATCAAAATAAAGCTCTATCTGTCACAAAAAAATTATAAAAATTTCCTATGGGTACAGTGTTGCATGACCGTGCAATTGTCATTCAAAGTGCAACAGCGCTGAAAGCTGGAAATTGGCCTGGGCAGGAAGGGGGTACAAGTGCCCTGTAGGCTAGTGGTTAAAGAGATTGTAAAACCAAGACATTTTGTTTACCTTAGTACATTTCCTGCATTAAGGTAAAACAATGTCCCAGTATTTGTATCACCCCCTGATTCCCCCCCCCCCCCCCCCCCAAAAAAAATACTTACCAGAGTCCTCAGTCAATCCAGCGCTGTGCCTGTCTGTAGCGTCTCTCTCTCCGCTCTCACAGGCTTTGCTGAGGCAATGGGAGCCATTGGTTCCTGCTGCTGTCAATCAAATCCTGTGAGCAGAGAGGGGTGGGGCTGAGCTATGCTGTGAGTGTGTATGGATGTACATAGGTGGGCTTCATCGTAAGCCTGCACATGCACTCCCATAACAAGCGGTTTGCTTGCACACACATAAAAGAAGGAGCCTAAAGTGCTGGTGGGAGATCCCAGAAGGGGAGATTACGGGCCACTGTGCAATTTCATTGCACAGAGCAGCAGAGCAGGCAAGTATAACATATTTGTTATTAGATTTTTTTTTCATATTTAGGCCTTTACAATCACTTTAACTTTAGTCCTGCTTTATTCAAGTCTCCATGCTGCACTGCAGTGCAGTGACATCTGTTCCACTGTGGAAAAATGCAGCATCTCCAGGGTTGTGATGTGCCCTTACAGTTACTGGCATTGGTCAGGTGCAGAAAAAGGGCAGTAAACAGGCCCTTGGGGTTTACATACACTTTAATAATTGTAGTTCTCGGCAATCAGGAACATACACCAGTTGTAACATAAGTTTACCTCTCTAACATTAGCATTCTATTGTATTTTCTCCACATACTACCGGTATATGGTAGGTATTATGGACTGTCTGTGTTAGATCTTTGTTATTCTACTAAACCTCTACACTGAGATACACGTATTAGTCATCCAATACTCATGTAATACTCTGTGTAAACAGAGGGAAATTCTAAACCATAGTGTAAACTCTTTTATTCTACAGTGAGGAACACAGGAAAGGCTAAGCTGGCCATAGTCCAGTAAAATGTTTGAAAATTTTCATTTTCAGGATGTTTTTCCAATTTTCTAATGGTTAATGGGGTCAAACCAACGCTTGTTTGCGACTGTAGTGGAAATTTAAAGGAGCAGGATGGAAAATGTTTCTCAAAGAACAAAATTCTAACTGTAACTGTGGTTTAAACAAAATTTGAAGGGCATTCAAACATAATTAGACTCAACAATGTCTCTAATGAATGATTTTTCAAAATTTTCATATCTTTGAACAAAATTCTACTAGTGTTTGGCCAGCTTTTACTTTTCATAGAGAGGGTGAAAGAAAAGGGTCATGGCTGTGGGCAGGTCATCTGGTAAATAAGACTGGGATCACAATCAAACGTGTCAAGACAGAATGGCCTTAGGGAGGTCGATCGATAGAGGATTCCCTGATACAAGCCAAGTAAAAAGATTAGACCCTGTAGTAATCATGATATTGAAATCATGGCAGGGGGCAGCCCTTAGATCTCTGCACTTTGGATGTGACTTTTGATGGGATTAGGATGGAAAAATTAGGAATGTCTTTTGTGGCTTTTCTGGCCACCGTGCTGGTTGTTCTCTTAATTCTTACAATAGTCTCAGGTTTACCACAGTATGATGACCTCAGATTCTATTAATTACCTAACCATAGCTGCCTGCAGGAGCTTGCAGAGGATATCAAAGATGACCCAAACATGCAGGAAAAAAATATTGGAAGAGTGATGGGAATGTTTATGTATACATAATAATACATTTACTCACACAACCAATTATGCAGAGTGCAGTAAAAATGACATGTTATGATATAAATGCTCACTTACATAGGCTGAACAAAGAGCAATGGATATTTGAGTTGGAGTAATCCATAACAACCATTTCCAGTTTACAATCAGCAGTCCGTGCGTTCAGTAATGGGTTTTTAGTTACAGGATATGACGTGTATTCTACACAAGTATTCAGGTAGTAAGATGTTCCACAGTGTTTTTTTTTTTCAGGTTATGTCAGTCTGTTGCATGTTGATGTCTCGATTTTCATAGAACCAAAGTTCTACTTGCGGATTAACTTTCACAAGTGCATGTTACGACTAGTTACGATTTTTCTCAGCAGGAGCAAATTCAACAAGTTTGATTTGTTCCCAATAGATATGACAAAAACGTCTTATCCTGTGAGTTTTTTACTCGCTTTGGTCAAAACAGATTGTCAGTTTGTTCCATTTAACTCCTAGAATATCAAACAAATGCTCTGTAACTGACAGATTTCTAAAGAAATCCTACAAGTGTAGGGTCAGCTATAATCTAATAGTTTTATCAAAAGATAATATGGAGAACTTTTCTTAGAGGTTGTGTCATATTTTTCTGCCATTCACTAGTTATATTTTCTCTTTACATAAACATTACAGCTTCCCACTTCAAATATTTGTGAGCAGGAGAGATGGTTTATCAACATTTTTTTTTTTATAAACAGGTCTTACTTTATTTTTGCAATTGATTATAATAATGCACAGACACAAATATATTAAGTATTTAGAAAAAATATTAAATATATAAAAGCACAAACTGTGCACAGCATACAGAAAATCAAAACTTCACACATATTGCTTTTAACACCCAAAAATCTTCAGTGTCATTTTTATACAGCTCATTCAGCACTGAGCTTTGACAAATCACATGCAATGTATTGAATATGATTAATGCAGCTGAACATTTTGTTCTCAAAAGGGTTAGGAAAGAGTAGAACCTCAATCAGCTTTTTGTTGCTGCCTGGGTTTCTGTTGAGGATATGTAAACGTGTGCATCTAGGTGCCCTCCAGATGGATGAGACCTTACAAAAAGGAGTGCTTAGTGAAAACAAAATGGTGCATGTGCCTTACCTATCAGTAGCAGAAATGTATTTAGCAGCACATGCAGTTGTTCAGAATGATCACATTTAAAAGGTATGTAAACACAAAAAGAAACATTTAATAGATTGCAGCTTGCCTGTCCTTAATGAGGAACTCCACCCTTACTATCAAAATGACATTTTTAAATCCTAAAATCTGTCTTTGTATAAAAGTAAAAAAGAAAAACATACTTACCAGTCCATGGAGTCCAGCGTTGTCTTGTTTGTAAGGAAATTTCTCTCTACACTGCTCCTCTCAGGTGACACCATCTTGAATTGAGATCTGCCATAGGTCTAAGGACTTGAAGATCCCCATGGCACATCTGCCAGACCACCTGCACGTGAGAATTAACACAGTGAGCTCTGTCAATAAGCTGGCAGAGACCAGCATTGTTTCTGTGCATGTGTGGGATCCAGCAAGCTTGGAGCCAGACTTTAGGAAAAAAGTATTTATTTAAAAAATTAAAAGTCTTATCTTAAGGTGGCTACACTTACTCCTCCATCATGGAGGAACAACAACAGCACTGTCAACCTGGGAAGAGGTTAGTATTAGATAGACTAGTGGATTTAGATGGACTTTACATAGGTGACCTATAAATTAAAACTTAACTCTTGATAACACTTTTTTTTTAACTTTAACAGTTACAGAAATGGTGGTTTTCCTTTTGGGATAACTATATGAATAAAATATAACTGTGTGATTTGATGCTCTCTGATGAAGGAGTCCTGCAAGACTCTGAAATGTCCATTTAAGACATGTGAACATTAAATATGCTCATTCTGAGCAACTGGATGTGCTGCTGTTTACATCGCTGCTCATGTGAAGGATATCCTCTGTCACTTTCTGTCCCTGTGATCACTGTTTCACCTGAATACTGGGAGAGGATGGTAATCTCCCCTGTGGTAATGCAGACAACAGTAAAAAAATCTGACAGAGGTTTTAACCTTTCCCAATCCTACTAACTAAAATTGTTTTTTACTGACACCTGTGTTTTCATTGGATAGCTTTCCCTTCACTTCCTGTTTTATTGTCCGCTGTCACTACACAGGAAATACGAGGAGATCCTCACCAGTAAAGGCACAAACAGCAATAAATACCTGATGGAGTTTCTAAGCCTTTACCACTGTGTCCAATACAAGTGGGAAAACATTAGCTGGAGATCCACTATAAGACCAAAAAGTACTTTCTGGAAGAACTTATTAAAGCTGGACTTCAGGCAAACCACTAAATACACTAACTAAATACTTAGAGCTCTTTTACCTAACAGGATTTGTTTTCACCCACATGGAAGAAAAATATATTTAAAAAAATATTCTTCCCAAACATAGTGACATATATTTGAAATGCTACAATTTTGGCCATATTCAATTTATATATGTATATATATATTTATTATATGTTGAAATGCGTTTTTATTACAAAATATATGAAAAATATTTTTAAAAATACATTTCAAATATACTGTATGTCTTTAAAAATACAAATCTACAATTTTGGAATGCATTTACAAATATATCTAAAAATAATTGTTAAAATGACTTTTTATATGTTAACCGGTTCCCGCCCGGCCTATGGCCGAATGGCAGCCGGCAAAAACCCTCACTGTTCTGGGTGGACGCCATATGGCGTCCTTTCGGGCATGCGCAGTTTGCGCGCCTGCAGAGCCGCGCAGCGGTGCAATCTGTCACCGGCCGTGTACCTCCGATATGGCCGATGA